GGGGGGGCATGTACTGGTGCGCGTTCGCGCGGGCGCATTTTTCCTCCCCCCGAAGCGGCCTGGGGGAAAAAACAGCCGCGATCCGACGGTGAGGCCGGCAAGACCCCGGCATCACCCCTCGACTCCAGCTCCCTTCCTTGCCATTTCGCGCCGCCGATCATCCCTTGCCCGGGCGGTTTCCCCTTTGCCTTTTGCTTTCGGCATCTGTTGTGACGCCTCTCGCGCAAGCTCTTGCCTCCCCCCCCCCCTCTCTCTCTCTCTCGCATCCATTCTCCCCGATGTCTGGCCCTCAGACTCCCAGTCTTTCTGACTGGGAGGCCGTGACGCCGACCCTGTCGCCCTCGGTGACTGGGCCGGCGGCCGGCTCGCCGACGCTCAAGGCCACCCCCTCCCTGCTGGAGCGGATATCCAATCACCGGACGCCACTGTCGCTGCACTCGCAGAAGCGCAAGCAGGCCGCAGCGGCGGCCACTGGCCATGGGTATGGCCAGGGCGGCAGTGGGAGCGGCGGCTACCCAAGTCATCCGGGTGGTGGTAGTGGTGGCGGCGGCGGCGGCGGCGGCGGCGGCGGCGGCGGCGGCGGCGGCGGCGGCAACGGTGGTGGCACTCTCGCAGCGCCCCCTTCCTCGACGGACTTTTCTTTCCTGCCGCCTCTGGGCCCCGGGTCGGCGGCTTCTGGCCGGGCGGTGTTTGACACGGGGCCGGGGGCCGGCAGCGGCTCCGGTCCCCGGGACCGACCGGCCGGCCCCGGCCAAAAGGTCTTCCTCCTGCCGGAGCGCCTGAAGGTCGGGCGCCTGGCCGCCTGGAATCACATCACGCGCCAGGACCTCCAGTATTGCGTGGCCCAGCCGGTTGTCCAGCTGGCCGGTTACCAGTTGAATGTTGTCGAGCAATGGTGCGTCCGGGCCCCGGGGGCGGCGTGGTGGTGCCCTCGATCTGTCGGCTTCCCCTGGCTAACTCCCCCTGCTGGTGTGCTTTCCCCCCGTGCAGGCTCACCGATCGGCGGCGCTTTCTCAACACATTGCTGGTTCAGACCGACAACACCGCGGATGTGGTTTTCCTGACCTCGCTAGCGCCAATGGCGGTTCTCGGATCGCCGGACGCCGCTCCGCGGGCCATCCAGGCACAGGACATTCACAGCTGCTTCCCGGACTTGGCGGCGCGCTTCATCCTGCAGATTCCTGTACGATCTTGGCCATAGCCTCGTCCCCTGGGTGCCGGCTTGCCTCATCTTGGATCCTTGTTGCACTGCCTGCTGACACTGCCTGCCCCATCTCTTCCCCATGCGGCATGGGACTTTCCCCTTTCCACCGTGCCCTCCCCCATCCCCCCCCCCCTCCCTCCCCCCCCCACTCCTTTGGAAGACGGATGAGGGTGTTGTGGGAATTGCCCGCATGAATCACTTCCCGCCAACCCTGAATCTGATTCACGTCCCGAATGGCGATTATGACTCCTCCCTGGCCCGGATTGTCATCAGCATCAACCTCAAGAGGGCCGGCTTCACCGGTCGGACGGCCGTGTCCATTGTCCACCACCGGTGCGTTGTCTTCGACTGGGCCGGGTTCGCTTTCACTTGCCTGGGCCTGCGATGCTGGCGCTGACATGGGTCTTTGCCTCTCCCCTGGGAGGGGGGCCTGGCCGGGGTGTCCAATGCAGCGAGGCCATCGAGAAGTTCAATGCGCTGTACTTGATTTCGCCCCTGGTCCCGTACTCTTTCTCGGTGGTGGAGCTGATCCGACTGGCACAGACGGGCTTGGCCCTGTGCGGGTTCTTGGTCCCCCCGAATCAACGCTCCTCGCCGAGCTTCCTCTTCCCCCGGGGCAAGGCCTCGGCCGGCGGGAATGGCGGTGGCAGCGCGGCTCCCGGAAGTGGCAGCACCTCCCCGGACCCCGAGGGCCACATGTTTGACGAGGATCCGGAAGTGTTGCATCAGCGCTTCCTCATCCGCTGGCGGGATCCCTCCTTCGCTCAGTTGCGCGATGGGCTCCTCTGCGATCAGACGGTCCTGGCCTTGAAGCTGTACCTCGTGGTGTTTATCAAGCGCGACTCGCAGCCGCGCGGCTTGGTGCGCGCTGACACCCTTCCTGTCATTTGCTCCGTGCCGGCCTGGGCCCATTGGCACGCTCTAACGAGTTCTCCTTCTGTGTCCCTGGCCTGGCCTGGCCTTCCCCCCCCCCCCCCCTTGCTGCTCCGGGCATTCCTTCAGGCCACGGATGAAAGCCTGCTTCTTCGGCAAATCATCACACATATTCTGTCGACCGTGTGCACGGTTCGGCATATTCTCAGCCTTCATGGATTTTCGGTGCGTTCCCTCGCTTCCTCCTTCTGATGCTCCCTCTCGCCTGCTGCCAGCGCTCTGACTCGGTCCGCTGCTTCCAGGTCCCGAAGGACCCCTTTTCCAGTGCGCCGGAGTTTGTTCGCGCGGTCCGGCAATTCCAGCTTCACCAGCTGGCCGGTGATCCCTATGGCGTGAGGCGACACTTTGCGCAGGACAGCGCTGCCCGGCACTTCGATCAGCCTCCCCACGCATCGGGCCTCATCACGCCCGGGCTGCTGCAGCTCCTGGCCCCCATCCAGAGCGAGCTTGCCCGGCAGCTGACCCTCAACCCGAAGACGCTGATCCTGTCCACGTCCAACCTGCCGACGTCCTTCGAGTCAAGTGGCCCGGGATCGCGCCCGGGAATCCTCCAGCGGGCCGGGTCTTTCGGCGTGCCGGGAACCGGGGCCAGCGTCGTACGCGATGGAGCGGATGCCCCCATGGGGATGGACTTGTCGCCGGTCCCCTCGGCGCCGATGCTGGGGTCGCTGGACACCGGTGACGATGCCGGGCCGGCGAGTATCCCCTCGTCCGGGGGCATGGGTGGCGGCGGCGGCGGCGGCGGCGCCCCCACCGCTACCGCCACCGCTGGCACCAGTGGCACGGCCGGTGCTCTTGGGACCACGGCCACCGGCGGGGGGCCTCTGAGCGCGTCGGCGGTGTTTACCTCCGCTTCCATCGAGCAGCTGGTCCTGCAGCAGGTGGTGCAGGGTGCTTTGCGAGTCGAGGCGCCGGAGGTGGCCCCGGCCGCCGGGGCATCCTTCTTCACCGGCGACCCGGAAATCGGGGCCGGATTGGACTTGGCGGCGTTGGCCCTGTATCCGACCTTCGATTTGTCGCAGCTGCTTTCTCGGCCGAATTTGCCGCCGCGCATGCGTGCCCTCTGGGAGGGCCGGGTGGGCGGGGCTGCTGGCGGAACCGGGCCCGGCGGCCATGCCCCCTCGCAAGGGACCCCTGGGGCTGATCTTGCTGGCGCCGGCGCCAGTGGGATTGCCCCCGGCGCCGGGCACCATTCGATCGCCGCGCTGGACCCGGAGGACCTGGCAAGCGGTGGGGGCTCCTTTGCCCCGGGGACCGAGCAGCCTTCCAGTTTCGAGAAGCTCTTTTCCAACCCCGTGAAGCAGGTTACCCGCGGGGCCCTGGCCGGGATGCCCTTTTCCTCGTCGCGCATGGCCGACTCCCGGGGGTCCGGGTTCATCCGGCTGGATGACAGTGCCTTCAGTGGAGGCCCCGCCGCCGGGTACTGCCCCTTCTGGGCCAGTACCACGTCGATGACCATCTGCTCCAACACGTATCTCAACAGCCTCAGCCAGCCGGCGCCGCGGGTGCCTGGCGGGTTGGTCGGCGGCGGAGGTGCCGGTGGGCTGGCCGCCTCCGGCGGGTCGGCCACCCGGCCGAGTCTCCATCCGATCGACACGTCCAGCGCCCTGCTTGGCGGCGGGGCGGCCGATGCCCCGACTTCGGATGACAGCCGGGCCGGCTCGTCGGCCTCCTCGCGGCACTTTGGCCGGCGTGTCCTCGGGGGCCGGGTATGTTTTTTGGGCTTTTCTTCTGCCCCCTCGCGGCCCTGCCTTCCTGCTGCTGAGGCCGCTTCCTTTGCTGGGCCTCGGTGTCCCCCCCCCTTTTTTTTGGCATCCCTTTGGTGTCATGCTTTCCTTCCCCCTCTAACCAGTGGCTCGTTGGGGCTCGCCCGTGTGCAGAAGGATGCCTCTGTCGTGGGAGATGGCTCGGGCGCCGGGTCGACTCCGGAGACGCCCAGTGGCCCGAGCTCTGCCGGTACCGGGCAGGCTGGCGGCTCGCGCAAGAACTTCCTCCGCGGCATGAGTGGTATCCAATCATCGTTGCAGATCACTGTCGATGGGCTTCGACGGGTCCCCGGGTCCTACCCGCACTTCAAGCACAACCGCCGGGCCGCCGGTGGGGGAGCCGCTGCCGGGGCCGGGCCCGGCGCTGGCAATGGCGACTCGGCTGCCGGGTCTTCCGGGGCCGGTGGCTCTGTGTCTGGGGATCTTGTTGCCGGCGGGGCCGATGCCGGGGCCAATGGTCAGCTTCTGGGTGGCCTGTCCGGGGAGTTCCACGAACTGGCCCGAGCGGCGCGGCTGTCCGAATCGCGGTTTCTCCACTCGGTCCGCCGGGTCGAGGTACGGCCGGAACGCCCTGCTTTTCCTCCCTGCCCCCGCCTGCCGGGGGGGTTGATGGTGCACCGTTGGTTTTGTCATTTCGCGAAAGATTAACCCGTTTCAACTGTCCTCGCGGGGCTTGCGTGTATCTGTGCGCGTGTCTGCGCGTGTCTGCGCGTGTCTGCGCGTGTCTGCGCGTGTCTGTGCGTGTCTGTGCGTGTCTGCACGTGTCTGCGCGTGTCTGCGCGTGTCTGCGCGCGGCTGCGTGGCCCGCAGGACCTGGCTCTGGCACATGAACGGGCCCTCTCCATTGCCTCGGCTTCGCTGGAGGAGCGAGCCTTCGAGTTCAAGGCCCTGGAGTCGCACCTGCGTGCGGGGCTCATCCCACGGGCGCATCTGCTGCTGGCTCGGTCGCTGGGACACTCGAATGCCCTGCCGGGGCCACTGCAAAGCTACCTGATGTCAGGACTCAGTGGGCTGATGGGCGATGTGGCAGCCGCGCTGGACTCGGCCGATGGCGACGACCTGCCGGACTTGTCCTTCGCCTCGCAGCAGCTGGATTACGAGCTGCAGGTGTGCATGTCCCGGGCGGATGAGCTGAGGGATGCGCTGCAAATGCACTTGGAGACTTTGAGCCGCGTGGAGGCCAGCCTCCACCGGCGCCACAGCTCCCTCCTTTGGATGGCCCACAGCCGGGTGATCCGCGGTGCGTGTGTGATGTGGCCACCATCGAGCGGGTCTCGGCACTCCCTTTGCCCTCCTCCTCCTTCTCTTCCTCCTCTTGCGCTCGCCCCCTGACACTCACACCGTGTTGGCCATGCTTTGCCAGCCTGGAATATGCTCATGGGCAGCATGTCCTCCAATGATCCGCTTCGGCGTCCGGCGCCTGCCTTCCTGCCAGTGGTGGTCTTCTTCATCATCGGCGGGGTGAGCTGGTACTTTGTGCTGCTCCTGGTCAAGGTGGTGACTAGCGCGTCGGCGAGCGTTGCCGTGGGATAGCACATGGACCCCCCCCCCCCCCCCCCCCCTGCCCTCTTTGGCGCTCAATGGCATTATGCAATACATCAGCCTGTTGGGTGCCCCTGTGGCTCCGTTGCAGCTAGCCACCCGGGCTTTCACCCCAGGGAGGGCGGGGACATGGCATTGCATGGTCTATATTTGGGTGTTCGTGTGGGGAGGGGGAGGGGGAAGCCGCGACAGGCCCACGGTCTAGCCTGTCTGTAGGGAGGCCCGCTCGAAGCGGCTGCAGGCATTGGTGAAGCGGCTGACCGGGGAAACGGTAACCAGGCGGGTGTTGGCGGCCGGGCGATGGTCGGTGTCGCGGCCGCGAGGTGGGCGTTCGCGCGTTGGTCGGCTGTCGGAGAAGCGCGACCGGTGCCCGTGGCTACCGGGCCCGGTGGCCGAGCTGCCGCCAGCGGCCGGGAGGAGCACCTGCCGCTGACGACGCATGTCACCCAGGGTTTGCTCCACATGGAGGATGGTCAGGCTGGCGGCGCCCTCGCGGATGGCCATGCGAGCGGCGTTTCTACGTCAAAGGTGCGAGTCAGAGGTGGGCGAAAAGTAGCAGGGAAAAGGGGAGGCAGGAGGGGAGGGGGAAGGGGCATTCTAAAGAGCGGAGCCAGCGTGTGTGTGTGTGTGTGTGTGTGCGTGACAAAAACATGGCTCCATCGCACCGAACCAGCAGAACCACATCGCCGGTGGTCCAGCCATCTGAGGCGGTGGCCCAGTGGTCCGCCCACTCGGCCGAGATCGGCCCCTCCAGCGAGGCCGGGCGCGGGAAGAAGGACGGCGGTGTGAGAAAGCCGCCAGGGGCGGGGGTTGGCGCCCGGCAGTGGCACGAGGCATCGGGGGCGTCGATGCCGGGGACTGGGGCCACAGCACGCAAAGTGTGCCGGAGGACCTCTCGACGGTCGTGAATGCACGGCAGGGGGATGTGGATGTGCGCATCCAGCCGGCCTGCACAGAGGGAGAAGCGGTGCAAGGGCGGAGTAAGGGGCAAGTGAGATGGGTTAGAAGCAAAAAAAAGAGAGGGGGGAATTGGCCATGTGGGGCTCCGTGTGTGCGTGTGTGCGTGCGTGCGTGCGTGCGTGCGTGCGTGCGTGCGTGCGTGCGTGCGTGCGTGCGTGCGTGCGTGCGTGCGTGTGCCCAGAGATGGCAGGCGGCACCGAGGGATGACAGACTCGGCACGTACCCGGGCGCAGGAGGGCATCGTCAATGAGATCCGGGCGGCAGGTGAGACCAATGACGAGGACTTTGCCCTGGTGGCCACGGTCCGGGTGGCGGCCGAGGAGATCCTGCGACCCGAGCCCATCGAGCTCGGTCAGCAGCTGGGCCACCAGCCGGGACCGGGTGCTGGCCAGGGCATCCCCGGCGTCCGCGCTGCCGGGTCCCATGCCAGCTCGGCGCCGGCCGATGGCGTCCAGCGCATCGATCACCAAGATGGACAGGGGATGCGCTTGGCGGAGTCGGCGAAAGGAAGCCCGACAGTTGGCTTCCGTCTGTCCGACATAGGGCGAGAGCCAGTCGGACCTGCGGCCACCCGGCGGAGATCAGCCATGTGAATGGGCGTCGAGAAGGGCGAGAGAAGCAGGAGGACAGGCGAGATGCAGGCGCCGAGTGGAGAAAGGAAGAGGCGAGGGGGATACGTACACCTTGACATAGGCGACCGGTAGGGCGGCGGATTCGACCATTTCCCGGACCATCTGCACGGCGGGGAGGGGGGGGGGGGGGGGAGGAAAAGGGAGATGGGTTAGCACGGGAAGGCCACGAGGGGCCCGGGAGGACCAAAGGCAGGGTCGCACATGGCTCTTGCCGCAGCCTGGCGGGCCGAAGAGCAGCAGGCCGGAAGTCGGCCGCGCGGCTTGGGCAAGCCCCTCGGCGCCGGAGCCCCCCTCGGGGCCGGGCGCCGGCGAGGCAAACATCTGGATCAGCTGGCTCAGGCGCCGGCGCTCGGCATGGAAGCCGGCCCCGGGGGTGGCGGCCGAGGGGCCCCGGGCGGCTGGCTGCAGTGCCCCCTGCTGGAGGAGGTCTTCGGTGGCGGCCACCAGGGCGGCCACCGTGGTGAGGCCGTGCGGCTGGCCAGCACGACTGGCCAGCTCACGCAACAGCTGCCGGGCCATGTGCGCCAGGGCATGCCACTCGGGGGAGCCGGGGCCCGGCGGCGCGGGATGCCGGGCGCCGAAGGTGGCCACCGCATCCGACAGCCGGCCGAGGAACAGGTGTGCCGGGCGCCAGCCAAGCTCGGCAGCCGCCGCGGCCCCGGCCAGGTCCTTGGTGAGGATGGCCACATCGGGCGCCAGGCCCGGTGCCCGGGACAGGGCTGCCACCGGGCCCGGGCAGCGGAGCAGCCAGCTGGCCAACACGGGCCTGAAGAAGGGGAGCGAAGGGGGCCGGCACGTCAGCGCGGGGGAGGAGGGGGGGAGGAGGAGTGGGCGGGCCTGGTCAAAGGGAAGAAAGAAGGAGAAGACATACGCGCGGGGCTTCGGGACGTTGATGACGAAGCGGCGGAGGCCCCGGGGGAGGGCATCACACGTGTCATCCGTGGAGGTGGCCAGAATCAGGACCAAGCCCGGGGGCCGGGAGGCGGCGGGCGCGTCGGCCGTGGGGGCATCCGTGTCCTCGGGACCCTGGGCGACACTCGGAGAGGAGGCCGGCCACAGGGGCATTGGGAGGGCCTCGGTCGGAGGCGCGGCGCCCGGGCGGGCCACCGCGGCCGAAGCGGGCCCCGAGGCCTGGGTCTCGGGCCGGGCGCCGGTTGCCAGGAATTGATCGAGCAGCCGGAGGGCCCCGGCCGGCAGGAGGTGCGCGTCATCAAGGAGGATGAGCGCCGGGGCGGCGGTCCGCGCGGCCCGGAGGACCCGGAGAACGCACGACGGCGAGGCGGTCAGGGCATTGAGCAGAAAGGCGGCGGCGGGAGGCTTCTCCGGGGCGGGGGCGTCGGCATCGGCGCCGGCTGGGGCACCGAAGGCCTGGCCACGGAGGATTGCCTGGCCGGCCGGGGTGCTGAGCACGCGCCGAGCGGCCTGGCCAAGGGCCACCGAGCGGCCGGCATCGGTCGGGCCGCAGAGGTTGACGCAGGCGACCAGCGGCGCGGTGTCGGGCGAGGTGCGCTCGCGCAATGCATGGACATACGCCCTGGCGGTGGCGGCCAGCACACAGGCCATGTCCGTGCGAGGGACGACCCCGGCCGATGCGCCCGGCGGGCTGGCCCCCGGCGAGCCGGAGGCCCAGGCAAAGTCCCCGACGACCGGGGACATGGCATACGTGGCCGGGGTCCAGGTGACCCGCGGCCCGGAGGCGTAGAGCTCCAAGAGGCGGTCGCGGCGGCGGCGGCGGCGGCGGCGACGGCGGCGACGGTGATGGATGAGCTGCTGGCCCGGATCGAGCGAGGGGTCGACCGGGTCCTCCTCCTCAAGTGTGTCCAGCTCGTCGAGGAGATCGGCCTCAAGCGGGTCATCGGCGTCCTCGACGCCGAGGGCATCGTCATCATCGTCATCCTCCGTCTCGGCCTCCGGCGCGTCAGCCCGGTTGTGGCTGCCGTCGTGGGCCGGTGGCAGCTCCTCGGGCGGGTGCTCGGGCGTGTCGCCCTCGGCGTGATCCTCTTGCAGGGTGAGGGCGGCCAGTTCGTCGGTCAGCTGGGCGATGGACCGGCCGGGGCGCTTCTCGGCCCCGAGGCGCACGAGCCAATCGCCGGTGTGGAAGTCCGGCCCGGGCTGCGCCAGGCCCTCCCAGTCGGCGCCGAAGAGGAAGAGAGCCCGGCTGTCCGGGACCGAGAGATCGGCCGCCACCGCGGCCGATCGGCCCCGACCGGCGGAGCCCGGGACCAAGTCGTCGGCCCGCACGGCCAGCAGGCTGCCCGGGCCGATGCAGACCGGCCGGTGGCTGAGCGCCACGCGGAGCTGGGCGCGCTGGGCCTGAGTCCAGGAGCCGGCGCCGGTGGCCTGGCGGGAAAAGACCCCGGTCTCGAAGGGGCCCAGGAGCTGGGGATTCCCGGCGTCCTGGCGGAGCCAGAGCCCGGGCAGCTGAGCGCCGGCGGTCTCGGGGGCCGGCCCGTCGGTGGCCGGCTCCCGGAAGGTGTGGTCAAACACCTGGGAGGCGGGGTAGAGGCGGATTTGGACCGGGGCACCGTGGGCCAGGCCGGCCCGGGCGAAAGGCCACTCCGGCAAGAGGACCGGGCAGTGGGAGGGGGGGCCATGGGCCAGGGCGACCGGGCTGCGGGGACAGGCCCGCACGCGGAAGAGCGATCGGGTCCCGGCCCCGGGCCACAGCACCACGGCCACCAGCATGGGCAGGTCCACCGGGCCCGGGGTGGCGGCCAAAGGGTCTGCTGGGGCGGCGCCGCTGTCGTCGCCGGCGGCGGCCAGGGCCGCCTCGAGCACCGGCAGCAGGGACTCCGGCAGCAGGCGAGCCGGCAAGGCAGCCAACGGCAGGAGGCAGGTGTCGACCGCGGCCCCGAGGCACCAGCTGGCGTCCCAGACCGCCGTGCCCGAGAGAACGCATTCCGGGTAGCTGGTGGGCCCGGCGGCCGGCCCGTGGTCGGGGGCGCCGGTCTGGGGCATGCGGCAAGGGAGAACGAGCGAGAGGGGAAGGGACGCGCGGGGGGGGGGGGGGGGGGGTGGCGGCAAAAAAAAAACAGGAGGCGGAGGAGGGGGAGCTGGCTCTTCTGGGTTCTCGCCCGGCCGGGACCCGTGGGAGGTGGCGGGCCGAAAAGGCGCGGGACAAGCGACTCGACGAGAGGGGAGGCACACGCGGGGGGTGCCGGCCGTGTGTGACTCTCTCACGGCCTCTTCCCTCCCGGGGGGGCGGGGAGGGGGATGCGGTGAGCCCGTCACACGGTGGGCCGATCTGCGGTGCGGGGGAAGAACGGCGCCCCCCGGGACAAGGGGCCCCGCGCGCGCACGCGCGGTTGGAGCGAGATCCCTACTATCGGGGTCGGCCAACTCGCGGGCGCGCGTCGCAAAAAAGGAAGAGCGGTAAGCCCACTGTGGGGCTCGAACCCACGACCCTGGGATTAAGAGTCCCATGCTCTACCAACTGAGCTAAACAGGCCAACGCTTGGGGACCGAGTGTGATCAGGGAAAATATGTGACTTCCGAAATGCCCTGCTCTGACACGTGAACCGGCGGCACCCGCGGAGATGATGCTCAGCCTCCGGGAAAGGAGTATATGGGCCAGCCGGCGGGCGTCCCGACGTCAAGAACAACGCGGGCCAGGGGCCGTGTTGATCCCCCCCCCCCCCCACCCAGAGGAAGACACCTATCGAGGGCTGGGCGGCACCCTTTTTCTGGGGGGGCGGAAATGCCGTCCGCCTCGGGACAAAGGCCCCGGTGGTGGGCAACACGGGCACCAGGAAGCGAATGGCAGCCATTCCAGGCGCGAGCGACCGCTGCAGAGGCAGGGACACAGCCAGACCATGGTGCACACGGAGGGGGAGGGGGGCGACATCCCCGGGCGTGGAGAGGACAATGGGCAGGGCAAAAGACCAAGGGAGGCGAAAGGGGAGGAAGAACATGGCGCGGTCGCCTCGGGGCTGGTTCTGGAGCAGTCGTGTGACGTCCACCGGTCAGAGTGCACGTTGGTCGGTGTTTGGCGGAAATTTGAGATAAATCCCCCGCATGTGCCAGTGCTTGGCAGAGATGTGGATATCGTATAGTGGTTAGTATAAGTGGTTGTGGCCCACTCGGCCCCAGTTCGATTCTGGGTATCCACACTTTTTGCCGCTCCTGGGCTCGGTGTGCGTGCGAACCCGGGGCGCGCGCGTCGTGGGAGCCACGCCTGGACTCAGGGCCGGAACGAGGGGGGGCGGCCGCACGGGCGCGGCCCGACATCGACCGTCGCGGGCTGCCAACGACAGGAAGCCGTGAGGGCAAGCCGCGGGCCTCGTCCGGGCCGGGGCCAGCGACCAAAAAACCATCGAGATCTGGCCGAGAGAGGCCCGGAGGAACTGAGCGCGCCAATCGGGGCCGAAAGAGAAGGCGCGCGGGCGGGCCGCGCGAGAGGGGGTGGCGCAGAGAATGGGCGCGGCGTATTCATGTGGCTTTGCGAGGTGTGGCCCGAGGGCAAGGCCCACGGCGGGACGCGGATGCCAGCGAATGAGCCTCCTCGAGGGGTCCGAGCGTTGGTCCTTTTTGGGGCGGACTTGCCGCCGGCTCCAGGCCGTTCGGCGCCATCAGAACCCGGACCGCTGAGGCAGGGGTCTCACGGATCCGGTCGCACGCCCGAGGAGGGATGCCTTGGTGGAGGGCATACTGGAAATCCGGCCGTAAGCATACTCCGGGCAGGGAAGGGGAACGAGCCGGACCAGGGCATGTAACCCGGCTAAGGGAGCTTCTGGCAACTTGGGCTGGGGCGTGCGAGAAAGCGAGCGGGGAATATATGACAATATAAATTCGGGAGGAAGCCTTAGAACGGCCATGTGCAGGTCGGACTCAGGTGTTTTGGGAAGCTCTCCTGAAAGGGGGTGCTTTGGCCTTCGGTCCCTGGTCAAGGGGCCGGCCGGGGGATGCCACCCCTGCGCCCATCTCCCAGCACCGGCTTTGGGCTCCTCCGGAACTGACGACGCCCTGCAGCCGACCCACCGAAGCTCCCCGAAAGAATGCCATTCACAAATAACAAAAGTTGATCTAGAGGCTGGAAAGTGCCCATTGTAACTCAGCGAGCGATTTAGTTTATCGAATTTGGGGGGGTTCGGTTGCCGGCGCGGCACTCAGCGGCACGACCATTGCTGGCCCGCGCGCCAGCGCCACGGTCGCCCGGAGCGATGGCCGCCTGGGTCTTCTCCCCTGCCCCTGCCCGTGGATGGGGCCAATGCAATGGGCCGGTGTGCGACCTCGGCACCTTGCGAGCCGGCATCCCTCGCGGCCGGGCATCGGCCCGTCTCCTGCGCCGTGCCTGGCATTCGTCCAGGCAGGCCAGGCTGGTGCCTGTGTGTCTGAAGACCCTGACCTGGGGTCCTGCGCTACGGCGGCGAAAGAGGGCCTGCCTGCTTGCTGGTTGTGTTCCCTTTTCTCCCCGGTCCGGGGCCGGGAAATGGGCCTCCCGGGGAGGAGCGTGCCACGCCTCGGGGCCAGCTTCGCCAAGGCGACATGCCTCAAGTAGCCGGGAGTATGATGGACTTTCCTCCTTCGGGCGTCGATGGTTTAGTGGTAGAATTGCCGCCTGCCACGCGGTAGACCCGGGTTCGATTCCCGGTCGACGCATCTTTTTTGGCCCGCGGCTCGAAGAGCGGGGCACCGGCCCCCCACCAAAACCCGGACAAAGAGGCCGCAGCACCGGCGCGAGTCCCCATGCGCCTCCGGATGAGTGGGCCACCTATGGAAGGGGCCCGGGGTAAATCCCCGCGAGGACGGTCACCCATCGGGTGCCAGATGGCAAGTGGCCGAGGGGGCGAGGTCCGTTGGGGGGGGGACGGAGAGCCGGTCGATCGGCAATGCCGGGCCGCTTTCGACCGCGTCCGTGCCATTCTTGCTTGGAAGGTCGAGGTGGGTGGGATGCAAGGGGGCCATCAGGCACCGGGGCCCGGGCACATATGCCTGGGAGCGGAGCACCACGTCGGCGAAGGGGAGGTCACTTCCCGCGATGGAGGCGGCGCGCGCGCGCATCTCTGGCAGCGTGCTCGGCCGGAGACCGAGCCGGCATGGGCGCCGCTCGGACGAGCCCGGGAGCACCTTGCGTAAGATGGTCAGCCTGGTCCGTGAGGCGGGCAGGGCGGGAGGGCCCGATGGCGAGCGCTCGATTGGAATCAGGCATCATGGGGATGATGTGCACGCGGGCCGACCCATGGCAAAGGGGCGCGATTCGCATGCGGCTGCACCTTGTCATCGCGGTGACCAGCCGGATGCGGAGAAATGCACCGGGTATCCACCATGCAACTGGGGACCACACACATGGCCACAAGTGCCCCTCGGGGGCGAAAGGAACCCGGGGGCGGGCGCGGGAGCACGGAGCGCGGACGGCCTTGACGGGCAACCTGCCAGATGGATGGGCACGGGGGTGGTGAGTGGTCGCCGGGTGGCGGGTCGGCGGTTGTTCACCGGCAGGCCGATCCGCGGCTCGAAGGAGGGGTCCAGCCGACCATCCGCAGCCGCCTCGTTCCCTTTTGCCAGGCGCGGGTGTCAGGGCCGGATGGCGGCCTTACGGGCCGGTCTCGCGCGACTGGGGTTGGATCCGCCGCCGGAAAGACGCCGGCTGTCGATGCTTCGCCGGGCCGGGGCACGGGCCGCCGGAGTCGCGCCCGCCATGCAAGACTGGGCCATGCGGCGTTGTCCAGATCCGGGCCTCACGCCCGACCTCATGACGAGGGCTGGCTTCAAGGCATCGGCAGGGGGATCAGTCCGGCGGCGGGCGGCCAGGCCGGGGTGCGGGGAAGGGTCCCGGCCCCGCTGCCAGCAAATGGCATGATCGTCGTCCAGGATCAAGGGCTCCAAGCAGGCACCGTTGTGCTCCATCGGACAAACGGACCGGAGCGGGTCCCCAGGAACGACTCGGCAATCCCCATCATGAGGGAGGTACCCCCCTGCATGGATAGCACCGGATTTCATGGAGGCGTCGCGTTCACCCTGCCTGCAGGCTCCTGACGATGGGTGGATCCCGTACCACTGGGAAGGATCGTGGGGGATAAGCCCTTTTCGGGGCACAGCAGAGAGAGGGGGAGAGAGGGAGCGAGAGAGAGAGAGAGAGAGAGAGAGAGGAGAGAAGGAGAGAGAGAGAAGGGGAGAGAGAGAAGGAGAGAGAGAGAGCGAGAAGAAACAAGAGAGAGGAGAGAAGAAGAGAGGAGAGAAGGAGAGAGAGAGAGCGAGAAGAAACAAGAGAGAAGAAACAAGAGAGAGGGAGAGAGAGAGAGAGAGCGAGAGCAAGAGAGCGATAGAATAAACAAGAGATAGGAGAGAAGGAGAGAGAGAGCGAGAAGAAACAAGAGAGAAGAAATAAGAGAGAGGAGAGAAGAAGAGAGGAGAGAAGGAGAGAGAGGGGAACACGCACATGAGGCTGTCCAGCCCTCCCCAGGAGGACAAAAAGTATGGTGCTCATTGGGTGGATCGAACACCCGACCTCCAGTTTACTAGACTGGCGCTCTACCACTGAGCTAAACGAGCAGAGATGTCTGTCCGCTCTTCCCGAGACAACAAATATCCGCGCGCGGAGCTCCGAGGGGGGGGCACCCTTACGTCGTCCCGGTGGCCCCGACAAGGGGGCATGCCGGGCCGAGCACGGAGCACAAGAGGAGGGCAGGGACAACCACGTACGCGGGGTGACCGAATGCCGCCGAGGCTCTTACGAGCGAAGAGCGAGGCGAAGGCAGCCAGCGGGAACCCCCTCAGGGGCCTGGCCGCCGGGTGTTGTCTCTTCTGGAAGAGCGCGCCAGCACCAGGCCGGCGACGCCCGGCTGCTCGTCGGATGGGTCTCCGGTCCGTGCTTCGGCAGAATGGCGGCCCGGATGCCCAGCACGAGGCACTCTGGCTCCCGGGCGAGGGCCGACATGGCGGGCCTGACCGTATTGCTCCCTTCCCCGGGACTCTGTTGGCGGCACCGGCCCCATGGCCCAGCACATGTGCGAGTGGGCATGTCTCGGGGAAGCCTCACCCGGGGCGTTGCAACGCTAACGGGAAGGTCAAATGCGCCCGCCCGCCGGGGGGGAGCCAGCTGGCAAAGATGCCCTTTCGAGGGACAGGGGCGCGTGGCCCTGAAGCGGAATACTGCCTGAAGAGGCTGTTTGTCCTCCCCCCCCCCCCCCCCCCCCCCCCCC